AATCCACCTCCCTGGGAACGCTCTGCCCAGCCCCCTTTTACTGACCATCTCTTCTTCTTCCTCCCTCGCCTTTTTTTTCCCCTTTTCCCTTTTCACGCGTTCCGCTTTGGAAAGGGCTGCTTTCATCCCTCCTGAATGATTTATGCTGCTTCCCCTTCCCACGGATCTTCTTCTTCCTTATGGTGGGTACCCACAAACAGCTTTGCGAAGCTGTCTCTTTCACCGCAAGTTCTTGCCTGGGCTAAAACCTTTTTTCAGTGCTTCCTTTTTAAATCTTCCTGTGGTTTGGATTCCAGGGCAAGATTTTTTTATTTTTTATTTTTAATGACAATATTTGAGGCTGATGGTCTCAAATGGCTTCCTACAACTCAGCTTCGGTGTGGAGAAACGGGGACTGCCTGGAGGGAGAACCAGGGTGGCCTTGCCTAGGAGGGCCTTCCGGGCTCCTGGAAGTCCTCACACTTGGGGGAGGACATAAAAAGCAGAGTTCCTCACTCACCTTCTCTTTGAGAAGCCCTTCCCCCGGGTGGCTGCTGGCGAGAGGGCCAGGGAGGGCTCCATTGCCTGGAAGAGAACAGAAAAGAAGTGGGCGGCCCATTGACAGAGACACAGGGCCTCCCTTCTCCCCACCCCACCCCACCCCTTGCGAGCGATGGAGTGAAGCTCAGATCCAAATTCCAGGCTCGGTTACTGCTAATAAGCCTACTGCAGGTAGACTGCCATGCTCGGTGCCCCGTACCTGTGAGGGAGGCTGGAGGCCAGCTGGAAGGCTCGGGAGAGAAGGCAGAGGAGGAGACGGTCCTGCCCCAGGAGCTCCCAGGCAGCCTCTTTCGGAGGGGGGGGCGCGGGGAGGTCCCGCTTGCTGCGGAGGGCCAGCTGGGGCTGGCGGGTGAGGACTGCTGAGAGGGAAGCAATGGAAACTGGGGAGCCGCCGTTGCCGATGGAGGGGAGGCTGTCTCTCTAACCACCTGGATTTGGCCCGGCCAGGCAATGCGCCGATTCACCGGAGGATAAGGTGCCTGCTGGAGGACATGGGAGGAATCTTGTCTGCCCCCACAGCCTTTCCCAGGGGGCCCAGGCGCAGTCAAGGTCAGCTGGCTCACCTCATGCTCCGTGAGGATTTGAGCTAATTACGCACAATGACTCTAATTCCTTCGAGGGAGCTGGTCAGTTAAGGAATATGGAATATGATAAATAGATGGCCTTCATCCCACTGGACAGGCAGGAAGGTCACTGGCTGGGTGGGCGGGTGGGGGCAGTGGCTATCATAGGAGGACAAGAACGCCGAGGCTGCCAATGGGGACCTTACCCAAGCAAGGACCCCCAGACGTGCTTACCCCCCCCCCCGCCAACCTTCACAAACCCTGGACCGGAAGAGGCCAAATGTCAGCGGCTGGGGGGGGTGGAGAGTGGGCTGTCCAGCCGAATTCCCTGGAAGCCAGAACATTCCAAAGACAGAAACTGGGCCCTCTTCCACCCGAGTGGAGTCCGGGAACAGGCAATTCAGCTCCCATAAGCCCGGAAATCGCCATGCCAGCCATCCCTTGTTTGGGCCAAGCTGTTTCCTTTTAGTGGCTGGCAGGGCCCAAGAGGGCTCTCCGGCAGGGAGAGGAGCAGGCTCTCTGTCTGTCCCCGTCGCCACCCCCTCCCTTACCTGAGGTGGGTGGTCCAGTACCAGCTCAAAGGTTGGCCCGCCGGAGCCGAAGCGCAGGAGGTCTCCCGGGCCCACCTTCACGGCCACATTCTGGATCTGGCAGTCGTTCACAAAGGAGCCGCTGCCAGTATTGAAGTCCCGAAGAACAAAGCTGTACTCGGCGTCACTGAACTCGAGGGCAGCGTGGTGGTCTTCCAACCCTGGAGACTGAAGTGGGGCGAAGAGGCTTTTTAATCTAACTGCATCCGGAGCACAAACGAAAGGGAAGACCATCCCCAGGGAGTCGGGGGAAGTCGTCTTTTTCTCTCTCATCACTAAGATTTGCTTTTCACACATTCAAGTCAATCATACTGCATTCCAATGTCCGAAACCAAAAACCAGACTGCTTTAAATAAGACTGTTGTGAGGCAGCAGAGAAACAAAAAATACAGTATGCCAGTATTAGCTTTGGAAGCGGGGAGGAGGGCTCTGGATCATTTAGCAGATTTGACCTCTGTCCTTGGCTTCCACTTTTTTAGGTAGATTCAAGAACTTATTGGAGCCCGCAAACATCTGGACTGAGAACTGGCCTGAAACCCCTGGGTGACAAGTAAAAATTTGCAGCAGTTAAGAATCACCAGTGTGGTGTCCTGCTCAGGCATCCGGTTAGAAACTGGGAGCCTGGGAGTTCTAGTCCCACCTCATGCACAAAGCCAGCTGGGTGATCTTCGGCCGGTCACTTTTTCTCATCCCTAGGAAGCAGGCAAGGACAAAGCACTTCTGAAAGTCCTTGCCAAGGAAAAAGCAGAGGCTTGTTCTGGTGGCCTCCAAGGATTGGATGGGATTGAATGGAAGAAAAAACGGGATTGCCAACCCGTTGGGCCTTGGCCCTCAGCCAGTAACGTCTGCACCCAGCAGCCAAGCCAGTGTGCGTGCATGTGAAAGTGCAGCTCCCCAATCCTGTGTCCCCCCCCCCCCCGATCTTTTTTGAACCAGCAAGTCCTACCGGTCTCCCCCTTTTACCTTCAGAGTCCACCCCTTGCTCAACGTGAAGCTTCTCCTTTAATTCTGAGATTACAATTTTGAACAGAACTTGGGGGGGGGGGCCTCCAGCACCCCACCAGGGGTGAGACCAGATTGTCCCACAAGGAACCTTTGGGGCCTTTACCTTAAGAACGATGTCCGAGTCCTCATGCTTCCCTATTGTCGTAATCTTTGGCCTGAGCGCCAAGACGCCATCCGAGCTCCTTAGGAAGGCCTTCATGCTCTCTGGGGAGAAAGCGCAGGCCGAGTATTTGAGAGACTTTTTTGGGGGGTGGGGTGGGGGGGAGAGAACACAACTACACAAGTTGCCCTGGGGCAACAGCCAAGGCAGGTTCTCTCAAAGGGAATGGGATCCAGAAGACACTGGGCCTTTAAATCGGTTACTCCGGTGATTCAGCCCTGCCTGAGCCCCCCACAGCCCCCCCCAAAAAGCTCCGCGATGGGGCCCCAGGATGTCAGATGGGGAAACATGGAAGGGTGGGGGGCTTCTTGAAGAACCCGAAACCGGAGCTCTGTCCTCTGCGGCCGGGCGCTTTCCTGAGCCCACCGTCCCGGGCGAGGAGGGGGGCCGGACCCAGCTGGGCCCCCCTCCGCTCTCCGTCCCTCCCTCAGGGATCCAGAGCCCCCTTCAAAGGCAGAGCCCCCCCTCCCCGATAGGAGGCCGACGGGGCTCTCTGCACACGCTCAGAGGCACGGAGACGAAACCCACCGCCTGGTCGTCGAGCGAAGCCGGCGCAGGCCCGCTGAGGCGCCGACCCCACTCCCGCCAAGTGGAACCGTGCCCATGGCAACCGGACCTTAGGCCACGCCCTTCCGCCGGAAAGAGCGTGTCTCCGCGGCAACCATGGAAACCGAGCGCAGCCGGAAGTCTGGCGCATGCGCAACTAGCGCACCTATGGACGAGCTTTGAGCAAGCGGCCCCGCCCTCCGTGAAGCTCATCCCTCCCAGGCGGACTCCGACTCCCAGAATCCCTCAGCCGTCGGACCTCAACCGGGAATACCGGGAGTTGAAGTCCACCCGCTTTAAAGGGATCAGGATAAGAAACCTTGTTTTAAACCCCCACGTTCCCACGGTGCGAGCGTCGCCCACGCTTTTCCCAGCGGTGCCCTGTTCACACAGCGTGCCAAGTATTGCCCTATGGCACCTTTTGACAAGCGAGGAGTCCCCCCCCCCGGGGGTCTTGGACCCCATTCTTACCCCAGTGGGGGCTGCTGGATCCCCGCCAGGGGACCCCTTCGGGAGGCCCCCTTGAAACAAAGCCAGCAATCTCAGGGGCACACCAGACCCTCACCCCCACCCCCGCCCCAAGAACAGAGGATAAAAACAGCCGTTAAATCAAGATCTCACCCATTTATTCTTTTTTTAGAAAGGGCTTCCTTCCCCCCCTCCTCCCCACCTTCCAGTTTAAAAAAAGTTACACCCTCTTGGAAAAAGAAGTTTCACATTTCCAGTTCAGCAGCTACAAAACCCAAGAGGAACAACAGGGGAGATGGTCCAGAGCTCCCTCCCCAAATGAAGATGTTTCTGGAGCCTGCAGCAGATCCCGGTGGATCTGGGCTGTTCTCTTTGGCCCTTGCAATGTTTGATTTCAAGTTTCCCGAATTTCCTTCGCTTTGCCGAAAACCCACATTTGGTGGAAAAGGAGGCCGGGTTTGAAGCCCCATTGCTGGAAACTGCCACAAAAAAATTAAAAATTAGCCTGGCAATCATGCCAGACTGGAGAGCTAGTTTGGAGAGGTGCTCATTACCAAACAGATATAAAAATGACATAATTTAGAAAAAACACACACACAAACGCACAGATACACTATAACCTCAAGGTTCATATTGCTAAGATGGTATCAAACCTGCCCCTCAGCCCCCCCTGGCCCTGAGCCGAGTTTGCAGAGGGGATTTGGCAACCTTCCCAAACTATCCATCCAGCAGGTTGGAAGGAAAGAGCAGGAGAAAAGGGCGGAGTCTGGTCTGGGGCGGGGGGGGGGGGGGGGGGGTGGTTTCCTTGGGGGGGGAGGGGGGGGGGGTATTTCTCAAATCCCGGATGGGCCGGGATCACGAGGACAAACACCACGGAGGCCATCTGCGAGAGCCTGGCTCATCCCTTTTCTCCTCCCGGTGGGCCTCTGGCTTGGCTCCAACGCTTGCAACCGGACATGAGACATCCCCACCCTGCCCCAAAAGCGCTTCCGGTGCTTCCTGCAAAGGGGTCCCTCGGAGCGGCTTCAGGACTCCCCCTCCCGGGGGTCTGGCAGCTTGGGGGGCGTCTCGTCGTACTGCGGAGGGGGAGTGAGCGGCTCGATGGTGACCCGGGCAGGAGGGGTGCTGCCCAGCTGGAGGTTCTTCAGGTGCAGCTTCTCAGACTTGATCCTGCGCACTTTCAAGGGCTTGAGGCGCTTGCTGAGGCGGGAGCTCTGCCGGGCGGGTGGGCGCTCCGCCCCCATGGCTGTCCCTGCGGCCTGGCTGGGCCTGGTGGGGAGGCTTTCATCCAGCCCCGTGAGAGACTCGTAGGAAGGAAGGGAGATGCTGATGCGGGTGCCACGCTCGGCCTCCAGCCTGGGCTCCTGCGGGTAGAGGCCGTTGACCGCCTCCTCGTAGCTGGGCACGTAGTAGCGGGACAGGCTGTCGTTGTCGTCTTCTTGGCTGCGGGGGGGGGGGGGCTCGGGCGCGGTGCGTGCGCCGGACGGGGCGGGCCCCCCCCCCCCCCGCTCCCCTCCCAGCAAAGAGGGGATAAGGAAGGGCAATTCCCTGAAGGCTCTGCAATGCCTCCGAACCAGGGCTTGTTCTAGCAACCCTGTTTACAAGGTGTGTGGTGCGTATGAATTCACTGTCCACACACTCGGGCGTTATGAGGCTTGCTGGGTGGGTCGTTCAGATTTAGGCTGCCGGCCAGGGCTTGGTGCGACTCCTGCTCTTTGGATGCAACTCCCGGGGCCTCACCCAGGACGCAAAGTCTCGCCTCCAACGGCTTCTGTGGAGGCGGCTACTCAGACGGTGCGGATATGGCCCCACGAGGAGGCCCACACAGCCTCCGAAGGAGTCTGCAAGGAACCTTCCATGCCAGTCACAGCCAGGGCTGAACTGAGCCCCCGTCTGCATTTATCTGGTCCCAGAGCTGACCAGGGTCTCCCACAGGAGATCTGGGCGAAGGTTGAGGGAGGCCGTTACTCGCTGGACGCTGAGCTTTGGCCCTTCCCAGAAAGGAAAGGCTGCCTCTGTTCGGCTTTTTTGGACAGGTTGCCCGGCCAGAAGGAGATGCCAATGGGGGCTTAACTTCATTGCGCCCAGTTTGTGGCTGAGGCCATGAAGTGCCCCTGCCAGGAGCCGGGGCTCAAAAGGAACTCCCCAGGCACACGGGCAGTTATGGGGCCTCTTGGCAAACTCTGGGTGGGAAAGTGGCCCTCCCTGCTCACCTGTCCTCTGGGGGAGGCTGCTCGGACGAGGGCTGAGGTCGTGTCCGGACAACGTCGTCTTGGTGGTGCCTCGGCTTCCTTCTGTCCCGGATGGTCAAGCAGATGGAGAAGAGGAGCAGCAGGACGCCAGCGCCGACCAGGACGTAGGCCACCGAAAAGGTCTTGTTCCTGTGCAGGAGCCCTTTGCTGACCTCGGTCTCGTTGTGGTGACCGCCGGTCGGGTGAGGCTTGGCGCTGAGGCCGAAGCCCGGGACCAAGTTCCAGACGGCCATGATGACTCCAAGGACCAGCATCCCCAGCCCAATGGCCGTCAGGGCGTAGTGGGAGCCGCTGCTGGACCTGGACTGGGCCATCCTCAATGGTTCTCAGGGGAGACCCAGCGGATTCCCTTCCTCCTCCACTGAGATTGCTCAGAAGATCCAAGCAGGAAATGGGGATCTGGAGAAAGACGAGGGAACGGGATCGATTTCAGGTGAAGAAGAATATTCCTGGCAAGGCAGTGGGTGCAGAACTGCAGAAATTAAAATTTGGCCTGTTGTCTTTCTAACATTTGGGGACATAAAATTATCTGAGCCACTTCTGGGCAGAGCCCCCCACCCCACCCCTCTTTGGATTCCTCCAATTTTCCTGGGAATCATTGTAATCCCCAATTCCGCTCCTGGGAAGCTTCCTTCCTTTTTGCAGGTTTGTTTCCTTCATGCCGTAGCAAATGGCAGCACCTGGATGTCTGTAAAAAGACAGGGGATGGACGGGAGGCCACTGCGAAATCCCACGACTGGGGAGAAACAACCTTGAAACAGGCACTCAAAGCAACCGGAGCCCCACCTTTTCTCCAAGCTGGGCCTCTGGATGTCTAGCATTATGGTTCACTTTGCTGTGGAGAATGGGAACTGCAATGCAACACAGCTGGAGAACAATGGCTTGGCATAACCGTAGGAAAGCTGCAGTTTCAAAGCTGTACCTTCCCTCGGGTTATCCCAAGCGATGGAGTAAACTACCAGGACTAATGTCCCAAACTTTTTTATATGATTTTTCAGTTGCTTTTAAAACGGGGGAAAAGAAAAAGGGAAAAGAAAGTAAAGGAACAAAACACAAAGATACATACAATATATATATTTAAAAAAAAAAACTGTAGCAAGTATTTGAAAATAAATACTAACAGAACTAAATACAAAAAAAGAAAAGAAAAGAAAAAAAAACCCATACGTGCCCCTCTCCAGCCCCATGGAAAACCCCTTTTATAAGCATTCAGACACCCCCACCAAACATTATTGGGCAAACTCTGGTTTGGATTCCACTTCTGTTATGGAATAGCTGCGTTCCAGAAATGAAGCCAGGATTAAAATAGAACCCCAGACACAATTTTAAAAATCCCAACTAGACATAAAAGCCATATGCGCTAGGAAAGATTTAGCATGCACTAAAAAAGAAAAAAGAAAAATCAGAATAGCTCAATGCAAGCCCAGAATAGGAGGGAAAGCGCAGGCCAGATTTGACCAAAAAAAGCTCTCGTCTTGCCAACCAGACCAAAAATGCCGCTGGGTTTTTTCCACCAGCACAGGCCCTCCTGGAACGCCTGAGGCTTTGGGTCTCCTGGCACATGGAAACCTCTCCTGGTTGTTTGCAGCCTTCACCAGGGTGGAAACCGGCCTGAAAAGGCCAGAGGCCGAGAGCTTGGCAGGCGGAGACTTCGTCCAGCCAACTGCAGATCAGATTTCCTACCTGTTCCTACCTACGTAAGGCTTAAAAGGAGAGACAGGCGGGCTTTTGACGGCTGAGTTTCTGAGATCCCTCCTACGGCCAAGATCGGCTTTCCCATGGACCCCAAAGCAGCTGAAAGACAAAACCCAGAATACGGGCCTTGCCCTGTGCCCAAGAACGGCCCCAGGGCCAAGATGCCCTGGAAGGACCCCAGAGCAACAATGCGGCCATCTTGCCCAGAAAGAGCCAGGACGCCCTGATCAGGCCCCTGAGGAAGCTGAGAACCAGCCAGACTACAATGAGGAATGAATAAAAGAGGAAATGACACCTCTCTGCCAAGTTGTATCTGAACAGACTTACTCCGAGAGGTTGCAACAAAGGAACCTCAGTCTGACAAACTGTTAACCTGAGCAACAGTTAACTAACAAACTAACCCACTGCCCAATTCCCTTTGGTGGAAATTATTTGCAATGAATGAAAAAGGATGAACAGCTAGCCTTTGGGGAAATCCCATTTTCCCCAGTCCCCCTTCTCTCTCCATCCGTCTGCAGCCTGTTTGCAGCCCAGACTCCCCAAGGCTTCCGAGCGATGGAAGCAGGATCCCAGTAGGCTTAAGAGCACAAGGGATGCTCAGGCTGAGTCCATTGGGGAACAGGCTGCCTTCTTGGGAAATTTAAGGCAGCGATGACAACTCCTGCAGGGCAAACCTTCATGTGAACTCTGAATCGCCTTTTCCCTTTCGGATCTTTGACTGCGCAAGGCCTCCCATGAAATCGGCTCACAGTTACTTGGAGGAGAAATTCCTCAGGTCTCCTTGCTGGGGAGAAAATTATTTTGCCAGAATATTTGCTGAAACATTCTCCCTGCCCCGTTAGATGGACCGGGGTTCCCTTGCTAATATTTCATTCTGACACAGAAGAAACGGCTTTCCACAAGCATAAACTGTTCCCTGCCAGGATTGTTCCAGGGGGCAAAGAATGTGTGGACACAGATATTATCTTGGTCTGCAAGATAAGCCACAGTTCTATATTCCAAAGCTGTTTGGCCAAACACTGCCCCTGCACTAAAGAGGGGCTGACTTTTCAACGACTGTTTGCTTTTAAACCCATTATAAAAAGAGTAAAAAACAAGATAGTCACACATGGAAAAAATAAAGCAGGAAAATGGGAAGGTGGGAAAATCAATATCAAATTATTTTTCTTGGCTTTATCATTTTGGAAGAAAGATTCTCATGTGGAGAGACAACCGTAGCCCTCTCAATTTCTCTGTGATTTTCCTGGTGTTTCGTTTTTTTTAAGTTCAGAAAGACCAGGCAACAGACAGATTTTCGTGGAGAAAATCTATCTATGAGGCCAGTAGAAGTCAAAAAAAGGACTTGATAGCACATAATCAATCAATCGATCACCTTTTTGAGTCCATCTAGTGAAATCAATAGAATGAGTTACACTGACTTTGATGGACTGCAACTCTGAGCCATTAAACCTTCCTGTCTTGTATCACAAGTCCTACAATTCCTGTGTTTGCAGGACACACACAAACACCCCTTGCTGGTTTCAAATTCTGGGCTTTGTAATCCCAATCAGTAAATAACAAGGCTGCCTCCCTCCACTTTTTCAAAAGGCCATCAGTTGCTGCACTGTAGTGTCTTCTTGCCATGGGTTTTCTGGGCAAGCTCACCTTATCCTGACAATACTGTATCATTACCATAATTATTATTTTGTAAATGCTGTATACTCCCATCAAAGCTGCCACACAACCCTCATTAACTCTCCCTGCTGCACAGAAATTAAAATGAGAAAAGGGACAAAATTATCCAGGGTTGTTGAATTCATTTTCACTTATTCGGGGAAGGAGGAAAGAGAGATATTAAAACAGAATAACAGTACAAGAAAGGGAGAAAAGAGGGAGATTTTGGCGATAAAAGAAAGCCAAGTCTATGAGTACAGGGTGCTGCAGCCAGATCAGTCGCGCAAGATAATTGAGGCCACGGTACATATTGCTTAAAGCATATAATTGTAGATAATTAGAATTTAACACCTGGCAAAATGGACAAATTCACTCATTTACAAACGTGAAGGCCCCGAGGTAAAAAGCCAGATAAAGCACCCCTTTCTGCTGGTTTACATGTACTTAATCATTGTGGTTTACACGCCTAGACCACAGGCAACCGATGGCAAGGGCAAAATCTCTACCTTGTCCTATGAACAGATTCCTAGAACACCCCAAGCTATAATGCGGCTGGTGTGAAATGAAGGCCCTTGTTCCAAACCCCCTGTGATCCATTCCATCAATTGTGCTTAAACAAGCTGTTTCTTAGATCGGCACCTAAACCAGACCTGCAAGTTCAGGTGGTTTTCGCTCAAAGTCCTTTTGGGCCTAGAAAGGAAACCTTCCCTGCATCCAACTGAAACATGCAGCAAGTCTCACTTGCTTGAGTCATCTACGTTTTGCAGTTTGAGGACAGGCTTAGTGATCGTTCAAAGCTACAACGGCACTGAAAAAAATAACAGGACTCTTCTTCACACTTACGATCACTGTAGCATCCCCCCGTGGTCACAGGATCGAACTTTGGATTCTTGCCAACTGGTTCCTATTTATGACGGGTCGCAGTGTCCCGGGGCCATGCAATCCGCTTTTGCGACCTTGTGACAAGTCAACGGGGAAGCCAGTTTCACCTAACAGCTGTGTGACTACCTTCACAACTGCAACGATTCACTTAACTGTGGTGAGAAAGGTCGTAAAATGGGGCAAAAGTCATTTAACAAACATCTCACTTAACAACGTAGATTTTGGGCTCCCCTGTGGTCGTAAGTCGAGGTCTCCCTGTACAGGCCAGGCTCCCAACTGCAGCGGAGCTTCCCGCCGGCGGTGCTGAAGACCGGGGCCCACCTTCCCGCCGAGACACGCGCAGCCCTTCCCAGGCCGGCCACGGAGGCCACCCCAGCCGAAACGCCGCTCGCAAGGAAGGCCCGCGGGCGGAAAGGAGGCCGAGGCCGCCGCCTGGCCCTGGGAGGCTTCCCGACTTCCCTTTTTCTTCTTCTCTGCGACAACGTCAATCTTCCCTTTCTTCCTCGCGGAAGGAGAGCCCGGAGCCGCCGCCGGAGTCGGGTTAAAGTCTAACCTGGCGAGCGGGAGAGGCAAACCGGTTGGTCCGCTCCCGGCGGCTCTCCGCCCTTCGAAGGGGCAGCTCGGGCCTGCCTTCCCGGGGGCGATCCGGACGAGCTCCCGCAGGCCGCCCGGGGCCCGCTCGTCCCCCGAACCCGCGCCGACCCCACCCGGCCGCGCCCGGAGGGGCTGGAGCCGCAGCAGGGGCTGAGGAGGGGGAAGCGGAGGGAAGCCCCCGCCAAACGCGCCCGGGGTGCTACAAGGGACCCTCCGCGAGGCGGCCGAACCGACGGCAGAGACGCCCCTCGCCCCCGCCCAGACCTACCGAGGCCAGCGGGAGCTATTCCGGGCCGCCCGGCCGAGGCCCCTCGGAGGAGCGGGGCGAGGCGATCGGCACCCCGAGGAAGCTCCGCTCGGGCTTCCCCCGCCCGCTGCCGCCGGACCCAGAGGGCCCTCGCCGCCTCCCCCGGGAAGGGCGAAGGGCGGCCGAGGTCCAGCGCTGGCCGCCCGGCCAAAGTCCGCCTCGCCCGGCGGGAGGCTGCCCGAGGAGCCGGCGCGTCGTCTCCCTGGCCTGGGCGGGAGAGGCGCCTCACCTGCCTGCCCGGCTGCGTGGCGGGGTCGGGCTGGGGCGCCGCCTGGCTCACCTCGGGGCTGCGCTCTCTTCGGGCGGCGCATGGCTTCGCCTCTCCCGCCGCCGCCGCCGCCGCCGCCGCCTGGTTCCGTCTCCGGCTGAGGCTGTACCGCCGCCCCCGGCCCTCCCCGCGCCCACTGGGCCGCCCCTCCAGGCCCCGCCCCGGCCGAGGCTTCCCTGCGGGCGGAAGCGAGCCTCCCTGGGCAGGAGGGCTCCACCTGCGAGGAGGGAGAAGGTGGCGGCGGGAAGGGCCGCTCGCTTCCCTCTCTTTGAGGGGGGCGCCTTGCCCGCCGGCCCCTCCCTCCTCTGGGAGTGGGATCCCGCCCGACCTCCCCGCCTCAACTCCCTCAGCCCCGGAGCGGGGGTGGGTGGCAAGCGGGGCCCTCCGTCGCGAGGCAGCTGCGGGTCTGCCGTAGCCCAAAGCCGCCGCCGCTTCTCCCGGGGCCGCTCCCCATCCCAAGGGTGGCGAGGCGCGGACCTCAGCCCAGCCCCGAGCCCCGCCAGGTCCCCTCGCTGGCGCCGGTCGGGCGATTGCCCGCCGCGCCGGTCCGCGTCGAGCTTTGGAAGGCGCGGTTGTCCGAAGCACCGAGCGCCCCGGGCGGGCGGCTTGCCGACGGGCCCGATTCCTCGGGCAAAGCCTGGCGGGGCGATTCCTGCGGCAGTTGCGCCCTAAAGCCTCGCTCTGAATCCCGCCGTTATTTCTCAACCGAGAGACACCGGGAGGGGGGTCAGCAGGCCTCGGTGGCTGAAACTTCTGCTCCCTGGGACCCAAGGCCGCTCCGAGGCTCCCGCCAGGGCCTTCTGCAGCATGACCTTGAAACACCCCCCACCCCACACACACACACTGCTGAGCCAGCCTGTTAACCGTAACCGCCGTTTGCGGAATTCAGAGTAGCCTGGAATCGTGGTTTATTCCATGTAATCGAGGGTGAGGTTTGTGCTATAGTGAAAGCCAAATAAACCATATGGTTTTCTGTGCAATTTCTGTGTGGGATGACAGGGGGAACCTGTATATGAAAGGGAAGGGGAGATTTCCTTGGTGCTTATGCTCAAAAAACATATTGTCTTTTCTAAACTGTACTTTTGTTAAGCTAAGAGTCTAGGAGCATAGGAACAAAATTCCACCTACCTGGACATGGGGAGGTGTGTGTGTGTGTGTGTGTGTGGCGTGCCAGGCTGTGGCTGAGCCCCACAGGTTGTGCAACTGAGCTGCTTTCCTCCTCTGGACGCTCACCTGGGCCTCTCCCAACTGAACTGGAATACAAACTCAGGCACACCCCACCCACCCACAGAGGTTTCAAAAGCCAAACAAATGAGCTCTGTTCTTTCCCATTTACGTTTCGCTCTCACCAGCCAGTCACTATTCTCCTCCTCCTGGGGGGGGGGAGGGGGCCTATGGAAGAAAGTTGCGGTGGGGGTGGGCATCCTTCCCCAGCCCCTTTGGAGCAGTTGCTGCTTTCCTAGCTTCACCTCTTCTTCTGCACCTCCTTTTGTGGAGGTGATGTCCTTAACGCTTTGATTCAGCCACGCTGGCCTCTTTTCCTCCTTTTTCGATCAATTGTTGGCCACAGCTGCCTCTTCACTTTTGTTCCAAGTTTATGCCGGTCTGTGGTGCTGAAATTTGAGTATTTGCAGCGTCTAGAATTGGAGGGGGACACCAAGTTCATCTAGTCTGACCTCCATCCCCCCTCTCTTTTAAGGAAGCTTTCTCCTGCTACTGGAGACCCCGATTCTGTGCCCTGAGCTCGGAGACAGACCACTGGGTTCAGCTGCCTTCTGGGGCATTTATTTACACCTTCACTTATTTAGCATGTTTGTGCCTGCCAATTTCACGGAGTCCTTGACTTATGACTTCTTGCTTAGTGAAGTTCCAACAGAACTACCTGGGGGGAATGTGTGACTCGGATTTGAAGTTTTCACCATCATGCCCCCCCTGCTCCCTTGTGGTCCTGTAACTGCATGTTGTGCGCTCAGCAACTGGACCACAATTACGGCTGTTTGCATTGCCCTGCGGTTAAGTACACGGGTTTTGCCCAAGCCTGCCATTTTCCTTCCGGTTTTCAGTCAGAGCCGCCCATCGCACCAGCCCATGGCTTTGCTCGACGGTGGCATTTCCTTTCTAACTGCCACGAGTTACGTCCATGATTACAAGGCTCTGCGATGGTCATAACTGGAGGGCTACCGGTATCCATAAAGCAATGAGTTTAAAACCATCATTACCATTAATTCATTTTTAAAACTTTGAAACTATAAAAGCAAAACGAAACCAGAGGCAGGCGTGTTGATAATGGTGGAGCCCCCTGCAAATGGCTGGAGCAGCCGGTCTCAAGGCTCCTTCGAAGGCTGGGGAGGGCAAAGCTCTGGGCCGGCCTTCCTTCGGTCCGGGAAGGCAAGGGTTGCGGCTGGACCAGAGTGCCCATTTCTCCCAAGCCGTGTCTGCCCATCAGTGGGGATCGCAAAGAAAGGCCCGACTCTCAGGCGACCGGCTGCCCCAGGTGCAGGAGCCCATCGGTGGGGCTCCACGCTGGCCGGTCAGTCCCGGGCCGGCCTGCGTGTGGATCCTTGCCCAAGGCAGGGAGTTGGCTCCTGGTTCCCGCTTGCAGTAACTCCCATCGGTGGGGTTTCCCTTGACTGCAGGCTGGCATGTGGCACGGCTATTAAGCCGGTCTCTGTGTGCAAACACAGGAGCCACCACACCCCCAACCTGAGCCATCTGCTCAGCACTGCCAGCCCCACTCTGCTCCCTGAGGCAAAGGCTGCGTCCCCACCCCATCACTTCTAGCCTCCAGCAGGCAGTTTGTAGGGCACCCCGAGGCAGCGCCTGCTGGAGGGACCCGGCCCATTCTGGTGCCCTCCAGGCGATGGGGCTTCAGCCCAGCTATCCCTAAGATTGTGCTAAATCTGCTTGAACAGTTTCTCCATTTTCTTCACCTGCAAAAAAGATTTCTGTTAAAAGAAAAAACACCAGCAACGTAAGGTGCTTTTAAGCTTTCTTTCCAGTTTCTCAGAATTTTTGAGCCAGGCTGCTTGTCTCCAATTCAGAAATTATTGTCCACTGGACTGAACAGAGCAGCTAGGAATGGAAACAAATAATTATATTATTATTAATTATTATTAATTATTATTAATTATTAATGATTATTAATGATTATTAATGATTATTTATTATTATTATTATTATTATTATTATTATTATTATTATTATTATTATTATTATTATTATTATTATTATTATTATTATTATTATCCTAATAGATAATGCCTATTTCCCCCCTGACAACAACCCTGCGAGGAGGGCCGGGCTGGGAGGGAGGGAGGGAGGGAGGAAGGGAGAGACACCAAGCCCTCAATTTTTCTGGCAGTTTTTGCCAGCCTGCTCTTCGGCGCAATACTTCTTCAAGCCACTAGATGTCACAAGAGTCTGCAATTGTCTGCCTCTATGGAGATCCCAAAGGTGCTACTTCAAAAGGCAACAGGACTTTGTTTTTCCTTGAAGAAGTTTTGATTCTCCTCCAAGAAGCTTCTTCATTTCTGAAGACCTGAACTGAACCAAAGAAGCTTCTTGGAGAAGCGAAACGTCTTCAAGGAAACACAAAGTCCAGTTGCCCTTTGAAAAAGCACCTTGAGGACTAGAGCCCCCGAAGTGGCTGCTGAAGTTCAACAATCTTCAGCTTTTCCCACTAAAGAAACCCTCTGAAAATGTGGTGGACCAAGAGGGGAAGAAGACAGGATGTAATGCTGACAAGAGACTCAATAGGGATGGGTGACAGGACTGTGGGGCCAGCAGCTGCACAGGCTCTGCCCTCCGAGAAACCCAGGGGGGGTCAGGAGCAGAGGTGAAGCTTCTGTGCGGAAGCCCCTCTTGAGCGGGAGGCCCCCACCCCACCAGCACCAGCACTCTGCGGGGGGGGGGGCTCTCCCCAACCCCCCCTCTGCTCCCACGGAAGGCCAAAGGGGCGTCCCTGGGCCAGACCCCCCCCCCCCCAGGATCCACCACGAAACACCAAAAGCAACCTCCTTCCGGCCTTTGGCTGGTGGGTTTTTCTTGGCTCCAACATTTGAGCAAACAGCAATGTCATCAAAACGTATAGCAAAGCATACTTTAAAATAAGCTTTATTTAGTTGTGTATTCTTTTTTTTTTATATTTTTATATTTGCATCCATGCCTTGAAGGAATTGTTTCTCCCCTGACACACAAGTAAGGGGGGAGGAGAGGAAGGAGACAAAGTTAAATCTAATGTTACCCATAATTTGTAAGATATTTTGTTTTAAAATGGTAGCTCTTTTAAATAAATCACCTTCTTAGTTTTGTTTCCTTTATTTTAAAATAATTATTTTCTAGTTTACCAAGAAAGAAAGAAAGAAA